TTGGCAAAGTCCTTAGGTCCGGGACTTTAGGACCCGGTCTTTGGACCCAAATTTTAAAAACCAGGTCCTGATTTTAGGACCTAAGTCCGTAGGTCCTTAAAAAAGTCCTAATATAAAAAATATATATAATATATATACGTAGTATATATGTATGTATAGTATATGTATACGCCTTAGCAAATGCCAAATAGACTATGTCCATTGGCCCAATGGACAATATCCATTAACAATTTGTTCGGAGCCCATAATAGCCCATTGCCAACCCTGCGTATACATACTAACCTATACACGCATATATTAAATGTTGTATATCTTAATTACTTTATATACAATATATAGCGGATCTAAGTCTTTGGACTAAGTCTTGGGTTCTAGGACTAAGTCTTGGACTGGACTTAGGTTAACTCAAGTTCTAGGACTAGTTCATAAAAACTTAGTCCGCAAGTCCATGTAGTAAGGCTTACGGGTTATAGGACTTTACCATCCCTAACTGTAAGAGCATTATATTGGTTTTCTTACAGTAATAAGATTTTGAGATACTGTATTAACAATTTTCAGTTATTTTTTTATAACTGTTATAATAAAGAAAACGCGTAAAAAACGCGTATTTTTATGCATGCTGATGTAATATTAGTCAACTGATTTGTCATAAGACCCTATGATTTTTTTGCGTTACATCTGATCTTGAAATTTGATTGGCCAAATAAATGTCTAGGATTGGATGCGAGCCGAACTTAAACTTTTGATCGGTTATTTTTTTTGAACAGTCGTAAATCTTTGCATAATGTTTCCCACTAGTTTTGTCAAGAAGACAGACGTAGAAGCACCTGAGGTAAAAGTTTTACTCACAAGTAATATATTAGAAATGAAAAATTACTGAGGCTGTGGTTGGAACTTCAAGGTTCGGCACGAAGTTGCTCATGGAAAACTACCATATGACTTCTCAAAACCAGTTGTGAGAACAGGGATTCCTGCTAGGACTTATCCATTTACGTTGGATCCCTTTCAAGAAAAAGCCATTGCATGTATTGAAAGATTGGAATCGGTCTTGGTTAGTGCACACACTTCCGCCGGTAAGACGGTGGTTGCAGAATATGCTATTGCTCAGAGTTTAAAAAACAAGCAGAGAGTCATTTACACAAGTCCAATAAAGGTAACTTATTATAACATTTTCAATTAATATACCCTGTTTAAATTCAAAATTTGATTTATCCTGGCATTTTAAAGGCTTTGAGTAACCAAAAATACAGAGAATTACAACATGAATTTAAAGATGTCGGTTTGATGACTGGAGACGTGACTCTTAATCCAAGTTCTAGTTGTTTAGTGATGACCACTGAGGTTAGAAAACCATTTAACTTTGTTCAAAGAAACATTTATGATAGTTATACCAAAATTAATCCATTCAATCGCGTAGATTTTACGCAGCATGGTGTATCGAGGAAATGAGATACTACGGGAGGTGGCTTGGGTGATTTTTGACGAGATTCATTATATGCGTGATAAAGGTGAGTTTCTGTTAGCATGATACCGTTTGGCACTGCATAAAGTACCCGGAGTCTTATTCAGGGACTTCGTTTTTAAAATTGAATAGCACCGGGTACTATTCGCGAATCCACTGATTTCATTGGTGGAGAAGAGGTACTCTATATGGTAGGATATTATTTTCAGGGGATATTATATGCAGTGTTAAACAGTACATTGAATACATCAATACATAATGATAATGGGGCAATATTCTAATGGATAATATACATTTTCAGTACGAGGAGTTGTGTGGGAGGAAACAATTATTTTGTTACCTCATAATGTACATCTTGTTTTCTTGTCAGCCACAATTCCAAATGCTCTTGAATTTGCCGAATGGATATGTGATATACATCAACAGGTTGTGTATTTGCGAAGAGTTAGATAACAATTTATAATCAATTTGATGTAAAAGTTCATGTTGTTTTGAAATTATTCCAAGGTTTGTCATGTCGTGTATACAGATTATCGACCAACTCCTTTACAACATTATGTGTTCCCGGATGGTGCAGAGGGAATATATCTGGTTGTTGATGAGAACGGTCGATTTCGCGAGGATAATTTTCAACAAGCAGTTGCCGTTTTAGAACAACCCCCGGATTCTTTCCAGCCTTCTGCGCATATAACCAAAAAAGGTATGAATATTGAAAGTACACTTAGTAACATTATATTTATGTATTATTAATGATAATGGTTTAATACAGGTACATCCGAACTGACGAATGTATATAAACTTATTAAAACATTAATGGTAAAAAATCTCAATCCTGTTATCGCTTTCGCTTTCTCGAAAAAACAATGCGAGTTGTTTGCGAGACAGATGAGCTCAATGGATTTTAATACTGGCAAGCATTAAAATTATTATTATTATTATTATTATTATTATTATTATTACTTTTCATTACAATTAATTAAGCTACACACTTAAATTATTTAGATGAAGAAAAAGAACTAATAAAGAAAGTCGTTGATAATGCCATCGAGTTGTTGTCAGAGGTGGACCGTGACTTACCATGGTTTCAGAATTTACTACCGCTTTTACGGCGTGGAATTGGTGTACACCATTCTGGTTTAATACCCTTTATGAAGGAAATAGTTGAACTTCTATTCCAAGAGGGATTGATAAAGGTTCTATTCGCCACTGAAACATTTTCTATGGGATTAAATATGCCAGCAAAAACAGTAGTGTTTTGTGAATTATCTAAATTCGATGGAACAAAATCAAGAAGTGTAGGCTACCTTTGATTTGTTTAATTCGTGGTTCATAATTTTAATGTTATTTTTCTTATTATATACTTGCAATTATTGGTGTTCCGAGAATAGATAACATCTGGTGAGTATATTCAGATGTCTGGCCGCGCTGGTAGGAGAGGCCTTGATACGCGTGGATTCGTGATTATGAACGTAGATAGGAAAATTACGCCTAAGGATCTACAAGAAATATTTAAGGTATATCTTTAATTATTTTTTAACTTGTTATTAAAAGTCAATATTAACGTTTGCTATATTATCCAGGGCGAAGCTGACCATATGTCATCTGCATTTCACTTAAAATATCATATGATTCTTAACATTTCAAGGATCGAAGGTATTAGCCCTGAGTATATGTTGGAGCATAGTTTTTATCAATTTCAAAATGCTGCACCTATACCTCGCTTGAAAGAAGGTATATAAATGTTTTACAATTACAAATTTTATATATGTTCCTTTACTGTTTACATTAATTCTGTTTATTAAATAAATCAGAAATATCAGAATTGGAAAGAGAGTTCTCGATGATCGAAATTCCTCAAGAGGAATCGGTCTCTCAATATCACAACTTACGTCTGCTTCTAGATGAATTTGAGAAGGAGGTTCGAGACATAATCTTTAAACCAGGGCATTGCTTGACTTATATAAATAGAGGCAGAGTGGTGAAGGTTAAATTCAATGGTATGGATTTCGGATGGGGTGTCGTAGTACGTTATGACGAACTAGCAGTAAGTATTATTAATTTTGAGTTGGATATCAAAACGAAAATGCATTATTAATTTTATGCTTTTTTATCAAGCGACAAGAACATTTTGATAATAATGCTATCACATCTAGAATACGAACACACTCTAACCCAGGAGAAATTACATATAAAATTAAAGTATTAGTCAAAGTAACTAGGGATTCGTTTACTTCTTATGATGGAGTGGATTTTAATGTGAGGCCATGCTCACCAGACGGACAAGGAGTTTGTATGGTATATTATCATTATAAGATTACATATATCCACACAAATTGTGCAGTCTATAAAATAGTTAATCATATATTCTGCTAAATGCCCTCTATAGATCATTCCAGTAGGTCTTGACGATCTACAGGTATTAAGTCAATTTCGATTTAAGGCAAATGTCGATGATTTAGAATATGATATTGTACAAAGAAACGCCGTATATAAAAGTGTTTTGAAGCTTATCTCTGAAGTTCCTGATGGCCATCCAATGGATCCTCGAGAACACCTTAATATCAAAGATGAAAGACTTTACAGTCTTTTGCAAGTAAGTGAGCATCCAATTGTTATTAGATGAAATTCAACTTGTTTAATTTATAATTATTTATAGAAACTGGAAGTAATAAAATCACAGCTCAGTTGTAATCCAACCACAAATGTACCTGAAGTTTATGAGAGTTATCTGAACAAGCTGAGAATTAGAGATAGAATTCAAGCGATTCAAAAACAAATCCGAGAATCTGAGTTAATACTTCATCTTGATGAGCTTAAAAAGCGAAAACGCCTACTTCGTCGGTTGGGATATTTGTCTTCAAACGATGTAGTTGAATTCAAGGGTCGAGTTGCATGTGAACTTACTTCTGGTGATGAACTGGTTTTGACGGAACTGCTATTAAATGGTGTATTTAATGAATTGTCTGTTTCAATGATTGCCGCTGTGTTAAGTTGCTTTGTGTGTGACGAAGCACCATCAGAACCAACAGGTGCTCTTCCGCAAGAATACAATGTATTGTTCCGTAAGGTTCAGGAAACTGTAAAAATTATAGCTGATGTAACTGGAGAATGTAATATTCCCATTGATAAAGATGCGTATCTACAAAGCTTTTCACCAGCATTAATGGAGGGTGTATATCACTGGTGCAATGTAAGTTCATTTAATGTCATCTTTTTTTATTCCATTATATTTTATTGTTTAAATGCTTATTTGTTGTAGAATGCAACATTCAAAGAAACTTGCGCGCGCATAAACATGTTTGAAGGTAATATTGTTCGAAATTTTAGAAGTTTAGACGAACTAATGCGCGCGATGATTTCAGCGGCAAAGATCATTGGAGCAAGTGAATTGGAGTCCAAATTTTCTGAAGCACGTGAAAAACTCAGGAGGGGGATAATATTTACGGCATCATTATACCTTTAGGTACAGTATTTCAATTGTCCGTCTGTTAACAGTAGTTGATCATTGTTGTGTGCAGAATTATTATAATGAACTTTTAATAGGTACGAATCTATTTGATCGACGAGTCACTAGTGTTTAATTTAGTTATTTGTTCTCTTCATGATTTATGTGCAATGATTGTTCCATTAAGAGAGTAATAACAGTTTAGAGCCAACAGGGCCGTTATGGTTTCGAAATTGTCATATTTTCATTATTTATGGCTGTTCGTACATATATCGGTTGCTGAACTCAAAACTGAATAATAAATCATATACACTCATGTGATCACATAATTTTATGTTTGATCACTCAATCATTGCATTTTCTTTCAAAACCAGGTATGTCTTTATACAGTAATGTTTTGTAGAATTGTAGTGCCATAATTATACACATTACATGCGCTGGTATCATGAATTATACATACACGGATTATGGTATTACTATTCTATGACTTCCTATTGCTATATATATATATATCGAAATCACATTTACAGAATATAATTAGCACGGGTCGAACCGTGAAGTAGCTCGGTTACGGCTCTGCTAAGAGAATATCGCTTTGTAAAATTGCTAGAGACGACAAACAGTCAAGGTTGATAGGCCTGTTATTTATTTAATTGCTATTTCTTCGTTACTTATGACTTCTGGGTTGATTTAAGCCATGAATTAACCCATTGCCCAGATTCAAAATAAAACAAAAGCTTATATTTGTTTTAATTGTTTATTTATATTCAAATATTTATATAATTAATTATATGTATTTATTACAAGTTTATTTTTTATTACAATTAGACTTTTTAAATGCAATTTTTAGGTATTAGATTTTGATACTGTGGCTTGCATTTAGAACAATAAGAAATTGTATTTATGAAGGCTTTTGTAAGGTTGTTGGTTGTAGATAATGTTTATAAACATTACGATTTACAATCTGGTTGTAACTAGAGTACTTGACATGTTTAAAAAATTTGGCATGCTATAAAATATGCTATTTATTTAAATTTATGCCAAAATACTACTTTGACATACTTTTATTAGCTTATTGTAGCATGTTATATATATATTATACTAAAAATTTTTAAGAGTATTAAAGGTTTTTTTTTTAACTTTGATAGTTTGTCAAGATTTTTATTAGAATATAAGAATGTTTATAGCTAATATTTATATGCAAATTTAATTTTATTTGTCTGATACTTAATATTTAAAATATAATATTTAAGTACAACTTGCTATACTAGTATACAAACTATACTACTGTAAATATACTTGTCAAATCACTATATTATAAAAAGTATATTTTTTAATTAAGAGAATAAATTTCTATAAAAATTAAGAAAACAATACTAATACTAAAAGAAATATAAAAGAGTGTGGCAATATAATATAATAGTTAGTTGTTATATTCTCAAGCTAGCTTGTAATTAAAGTATTCTACTAGCAATGATTTGGGCAAAATTACTTGCATTATAGTAATAAATTTTTATAAATAAATTGGGTTTTACTATCTATAACTTTAATTATATCAGTCTACTAGTATACTAGAAGATTCTGAAAGTATTTGCATAATACTTGGGTTGTATAAAAAATTT